GATAACATCTGCATGTGGTTTTGGAATCATATCATAAAGAAACATGAGCATGTAGGATCAACGCGTTTCACTCTAAATTGCTACTTCAGGATCCACGCTTCGGATGAATCACTATGACAATTTTAAAAATATACAATCATAGAATACAAAATGCTAAAATAGACAAACATCGACTAAATTGATAATCACTAAATGGTGGACAAAAGTTGGAAAAAGAAAACAAATGCAAACTCACAAAGGGCAAAAGAGAGACCCAAGGAGTGGAAAAAGCGACCCATGGGGGGAGGGCTAACAGATAAAGGACCCAGACGAGCAGATGCACTAAGGATACAGGGTGCATATCAAATTATAATTGTATTGTGACACTTACCCAATATTACCTGCAAAATATATTAAAAGTTAAACTCTAATACAGGAATGCTTATTTGAATGAAAGAAGGATAGTTGACCCCCATACGGTTGTTCCAAGTACTTATTATAAAGGTACTGATATGTAGTCCTAGATGAGGGCAAGAACATGCAACAAATATAACTTAGCTGCTATTCATCATATATATTCATACTTTCCCTTGCAACACATTCTAACCTCGTATCTTTAAGGACGAGATCAACATACAAATAGCTCGCAGAAAACTGTAGGTTGAGATGGCCATTTACGGCTTACAGCAATTATTCAAATTCACCTTGTCCTCCATACACTAGCCACTCAAAAGAACGGCCACCAGAACTTAAAATTGGCCTAAAACATGAAAAAGAAAAAATAGAACTAGCTAGCTTCACCAAGGTGAAATGAAAAGCTGACATAGTTCCAAATGATGCATCAAGCATAGGTTGTAAGATGCAACGAAGCAGAATGGATCTACACTTACCAAACACTACCACCATATCAATCCAGCCTATATATTGTTTACAAAATGGCCACCAAAAGAGAGAGCGCTACTCCTGATCACATATATATATCCCTCCCTCCCATATCCAGTGCCGCCTTCCGTCCCTCCCGTACCCCCAACGTCCCGCCTATAAAAAGCCACCAACCAAAACAAGCACGTGTCACTGCACATCTTAATCGTCCAAACCGCCCCGTATGGCATGGGTCACCTATCAGAACCTTTCCGCCCCCCCCCCCCCCCCGAAAAAAAAGAATAAAAAAAAGGGAAGGGAAAATGATAAAAATAAAGTCCAAAAATCCCAACAGTCTCCTCCTCTCATCAAACACAAGTTACAACATACATACACTACACATGATAAATTGTACAGAGTATTATACAGACATCAAAGATAGATCCTGTACCAATTTTTCCAAGATGCTGCTGTACATCCCTTTGGCATTTACAAAAAGGAGGCATAACAAAACTTCTCATTTAGGCCTGTTTTTTTTTTTACAGGCTTTAAGGTTGAAAAATCCATCTTCATTCTTTTTGCAGAACAGTGTTATCAAAATCGCCCCCTCTGGGTGGGGGAGAGCTCTCTCAAGAACCAAAAAGCGCATACCATTTGTGTCATAATTGTGTTCACTCCTTAACCACTTGCCTACCAGGCACTTATACCCCCTTATTTACCAGGCCAATTTTCAGCTGTAAGCGCTGCCGCACTTTGATTGACAATTGCGCGGTCATGCAACATTGTACCCATATGAAATTTTGATCATTTTTTTCTCACAAATAGAGCTTTCTTTTGGTGGTATTTAATTGCCACTGGGCGCTTTACTTTTTGCGCTATAAATAAAAAAGTTGCAAAAAATTTGAAAAAAAAAAAGTTTCTTTGTTTCTATTATAAAATTTTTCAAACAGGTAATTTTTCTCCTTCATTGATGTGCGTTGATGAGGCAGCACTGATTGGCACTGATAGGCGGCACTGATGGGCACTGATAGGCAGCACTAAAGGGCACTGATAGGCAGTACTAATGAGGTGGCACGGATAGGCGGCACTGATAGACAGCACTAATGAGGTGTCACGGATAGGCGGCACTAATATGCAGCACTGATAGGCGGCACTGATAGGTGACACTGATGATGGGTACTGATAGACAGCACTGACTGACATCACTGCTGGGCACTGACTGGCGGCACTGACTGGCACAACCGCTGGGCACTGACTGGTGGCACTGACTGGCAGCACTGCTGGGCTGCACTGGTGGGTGGCACTGGTGGGCTGCATTGGTGGGTGGCACTGGTGGGCGGCACTGGTGGGCACAGGTGGGTGGCACTGGTGGGCACAGGTGGGTGGGCACAGGTGGGTGGCACTGCTGGGCACAGGTAGGTGGCACTTCTGGGCACAGGTGTGACACTGCAGAGTGGCACAGGTGGATGCACTGCTGGGCACAGGTGGGTGCACTGCTGGGCACAGGTGGGCGGAGTTAGTGGGCGCACTGCTGGGCACAGGTGGGCGGAGTTAGTGGGCGCACTGCTGGGCACAGGTGGGCGGAGTTAGTGGGCGCACTGCTGGGCACAGGTGGGCGGAACTTGCGGGTGGCACTGCTGGGCACCGATCATCAGGCACTGATCATCAGTGCCCTGATGATCAGTGCCGATCCCCGCTCTGACAACTGCCGGTTCGCGGCAGTACTTTCCTCACGATCTGACAGCGTGAGGAAAGTGCAGCTGAGAACCGGCACTTGCATTTCCCTCTGATCAGCGTGTCATTGGACACCGCTGATCACGTGGTAAAAGACCGCTGTGATTGGCCTTTTACCACATCACGTGATCAGCTGTGTCCGTAGGACACAGCGATCATGGAGATCGCCGGGTGCTGTGCGCGCCCCCTGGGGCGCGCAGGAGAGCGCGTTCTGGGGGGACGTCATATGACGTCCACTCAGAACTGGCCGGCCGCAGTGCAGCCGTCATTCGGCTATCTGCGGTCTGCTACTAGTTAATTAGCTTGCTCTCAAAATGTCTGCCTTGATCTGAGTGCAATCTCTGGAGTAGTCCATAATGGTCAAAATACCTTTTATAAAGCACTCTGGGGACTGTAACTCCCTTTCCATGGTTGGTAGGAAAAGCTTATACGTATTAGGTAAAGTGGTCAGAAATGTACAGCACCTTTCCAATTCCTCTGGAATCATTGTTAATGTAGAGGAAATCTATGCAGACTAAGTCCATGAGACTTGAACTCTTTAAGTGCCCCCATTAAAAGCAACTTGAATTTACAGGGTGAGGTCTACAACGACTACCCTTTGTATCTCTCATCTTGGAAAAACAAGAGACAGAGGGTGCACCAGCCTAGCGCATTACCTCAAGGATGATTTCATTAATAAAAAAAGTAGATATATACTCACCAACAACACAAGTAAAAAGGAATATCAAACTCCATAATGAACATGAGAACCTCTGGTCTCCTGGATGAATCCCAAATGAGTGAAGACCTTCCAAAAGGCTGACATGTTTCGAGGGGTGATCCCCTCTTTGTCAGAGCCAATTTTGGATGCTGCATAACAAGTCTTTAAATAATAAGTGAATAAGGTCACATAATAAGTCCCCAAGGCTCCTCCAATTTGTGGGAGGGTACAAGAAGCAAGTACTCAAATAGAGACATTATAAAAACACATTTCTTAGTGCCGGTTCACATATATGCAGATTGGATGCGGTTTGAACTGCATCCAATCCACATGACATGTGAAATAACATTGCATCCTATGGTGCCTGTATGTTCGCTACACTGGCAGTGCAGATTGAAAAAAGTCCTGTCCGTTCTCTGAGCAGTGTGATCCGGTGTTCAGGTGTGGATTACAGGTACTGGGAACCATTCTAAACCGCATGTCAGTGAACGGGATAAAATCCTGACCTGAACCTGATCTAAACATGTCCTGAACGTGATGTAACCCTGACCTGAACTACTGAACAACTACTGTATCAATTAGATGTGAAACCTGAGCTCACCGCACATGTGTGAATCAAAACTTAAGGTTGATGGGCCCAAACATGTTACATAGTTAGTCTGGTTGAAAAAGACACAAGAACATCTAGTTCAATCAATAAAAAGGAAAAAATGTAAAAAACAAATGTTATACAATCCTATCCACAGATGATCCAGAGGAAGGCAAAAAAACCCCAATAAACATGATCCAGTAGGGGAAATTTTTTGATCCCCAAAGAGGCAATCGGGTATTCTTTGGATCAACTTTACCTATACATGGCTTGACATTTTTGTCCTTTTTTCTCTGATGAGCTTTCCATGTGTCAAAATGCATGTTTTAAGACACATTGATTCATTTTACATTGCAAATCAATGCGCTTTGACTTCTAGTGATGCCCATGTAACGTGTAACATGCATATTTGATTGAAAAAAAAACACATCAAGCAAAGCCACAAGTGTGATTTCAGCCTACAAAATCCCAGTATACATTAATGTACCTTGTTTCTGACTAGTCATGTGATGGGTGGGGTCCTTTCTCTGGAAACCAGCTATCCAATAGTTAACAGTATTAGATGTATAAAAATTAATGTCGAGTGTTATTGAGTAGATAATCAATATGCAAGAACGTCAGACAAATGTGGGAATATTAATAATGCAATATACTATTTCATTTAATCAATTGGGTAAGAAAGTAATAATACCATTTGACCAGACTTAGGCCGACCATACACGGGTCGATTGCCAAACGATTTTCCGTTTGAAAATCAGACCTAAGAAAAAATGACCGATTTTCACTCTGTTAGTGGGGCAATGGCCAATTTCCGTGGTTCCTCCCCATTTTGTTTATCGGGCATGTTGGAAAATTCATGAAAAACTGCCGATTTTCTAAATAGCTGGTGGCACCATAGGATTACAGAACAAATACTGTTTTTGATTTTCAATCGAAAAATCATTCGGAATTCGACCAATGTATGGCCTGCATAATTGATTGGTTCTGCCACGGTTCGGCAAAACATTGGGAGGCCATCAAGATAAGGGACTAGAAAAATAAGGCCCTTAGCTGGCCTTGGATCTCCTGGTTGCTCACTGATTTAAAGGAGCATCCTACCCTGGGGATTATTATTATAATACAGGTTTTATATTGTACCAACAGTTTGCGCAGCACTTTACAAAATGAAGGTAGACATTACAGTTACAATACAATTTGGTACAAGAGGAAACAGAGGGCTCTGCTCGTTAGAGCTCACAATCTAAGAGGAAGGGTTGGGTGATACAAAAGGTAATAGCTGTGGGGAATGAGCTGATGGAGGTCATCAGACACCTTACATCTTTGGATGTGAGCAATATCCCAGCTGCTTGCCTTCTACACTTATCAGATAGACCTATCAAGAAATATAAAACCTCTCTGACGATCCATCTTTTGAATGCGGCAGATATCGCACTCCACCTATGAAATCTCTGTGGTTCACAAAGTAAATGAGATCATGGCCATGGAGAATCCTACGGCCACTCTACATAATACTGAAGAAACTTTCAGGTCCACGTGGATGCCCTGGCAGGATATTTACGTGGAGGCTTGCCTCAATGCATTGTCGCAATCATCCATACTTATTGCTTCTGCTCCCTCTGGGTGCCCTCGGCCTGCATGCCTCTCTTCCCCGTATGCCCTTTCCCCTTCTTACTTTTAACCTTCTTTCCTCTTTACTTCCTAGTCTTGGAAGTCCTGTTTCTGTTGTTCAGCCCAACCTAATTTGGTTTTTTCGATTTTACGATCGTTCACCTTTTTTTCCTCTAAATTCCAGCTTCTCTGTGTACCAATATACCATTAATGTACTTTTTGAAGAAAAGATAAAGATTTCTATTTCTCTTAGACTAGGCCTTGCCTCAGCTTCAGTGCCCTCTTGAAAACTCCTCCATTAGCCATTCTGAATTTGGTGTTCAGGAAAGGAGAACCACTAGAAGGAAGAAGTTCACCAGTTGACATCATTAATGCACACCCCGCACCTGTCCTCCCCCAGGTGATGGCCTCCACCCATCTCTGCGGGTGCATGTGTAGCACCCTCTTAGATAGCTAGGGGGAGCTAGAATTGCATTTTCAGTTAGGAGGGCTGAGTAGCAGCCCAGATGTAGTAGGTGGTCATATTTCAGTCAGGGCTGAGAGGCTCTGCAGACCAGCTCTCTGGGACTTCCCCCTGCTCTAGAGTTTTTGAGAAAATTCTAGAAGCAGTGGGAGGGAGTGAGCAGTGGCTGGTCTGCACTATCAAAAGATCCTGGCCAATTCCAAACAGGAGGCTTGGCAAGGGGCCAGGACAGCCCTTATGAGTGTTTGATCCTGCTCAGCAAGGGGGAGAGAGTTTGGGTGGAAGATGGAGAAGTGAGAGGCTGGAGAGCAGGAGCCTGGGAGGGGGCCCAGCTGGGAAGCGGCCCACCTACAGGCAGGGAAGCTGGAAAGGAGGAAAGGTCAAGACTTCACCAGCCCCCAGAGAGAGAGGACCACCTGTGTAGCCAGGAGGAGCGGCCCAGCTAGAAGGCCTGAGAGCAGCCACCCACCCATAATCTCACAGACTGATGACTGAGTGAGTAGACCTGCACACCCTGGAGAAAGGAGCACTCTAGTGGGAAACTAAATTAGCTTTCTGACCGGGACTTTCTAACTTTTAAAGTGACAGACACTGGATCCCCTACCCAGGGATTTACCCAGTACAGCTGGATAAATGAGTATCTGGTGTCTGGTGTAGTACACTAGGAGATGCTGGATAGCTCTCCAGGAAGAAGAATCTGTTCTGCCATAAAGAGTTGTCCTCTGTTGCCATTCTTTGGCCTTCCCTTGTACCCCTTACCCCTTCCAAATTACAAATCCCTAATAAAATAAAATAAAACAAACAAGCTCAAGGACTGATTACTGTCTCCTGGATGCAAGTGTGAATGGAAAATGCATGTTGCCTGGCTGTGCAGAACTATAGCGGGACCCAAATCTTCAGCAACTCCTAAGGGAGTAGTGCTACACATGCATTTCCAATACAATACATAGATTGTATAGATCACTCATTTGGCAGAGTGTGCAGGAGCTGAGCGATCAGATAACAGCCTATGTGGAGAAGAGATGTAGTGTTGAAAACAGGAGAAGTGTTTGTGGAAGTCATGTAAGCTCTCTATACACACACCCTGCACATGTCCCCCCCCCCCCCCCCCCCCCAGGTGATGGCTCCCACCCACCTCCACAGGTGCATATATTTCCTATGCAAGCACCATTCTCACTAAATATACAACCATCAATTTTTTTTTCTATCTTACATATACTATATAGATCACTGATTAAGCAGAGTGTGCAGGAGCTGAGCGATCAGGTAACAGTCTATGTGGAGAAATGCTGTAGTATTGAAAACAGGAAAAGTGTGTCCTGGAAATCATTTAGGCTCACCATACACGATACAATCTGATTGTACAATCTCCTTTAGATCTACCATCAACTACATAGTGCAGGGGCTGGCCTGATTGGATACAGAGTAATTGGATAGATATGTGTTTCCTCCTATTATATAGTTTTGGTAAATCTAAAGGAGATTGTACAATCAGATTGTATAGTGTATGGCCACCTTTCTACACCTAAAATGAATTATTCAAGCTTTCTGTCTCATTTGTTACTAGCACCCCAAACACAAACAGAAGCAAACACACATTTTGCCACATAAAGAAACAAGCGACAAACGCAGTAAAACACAGTAAAAAAGGTGCAAACCGCAACATGCCAAAATGTCCCATGAGCTACTTTGCCATGGGTAGGGCAGCCCATTGAAATCAATGGGCTGCGCTATGCGTGTTGTTGTCATT